GTATTCATACGTGGTTTTATGAGAAGGTTTGCTGTGTCTCTCAGCACAGTCTCCAGAGTGACTGGGCGAAATGAGGAGTACTGAACGCAGCTGTGGTTTGAATAAGAACAGGAGCCCTGGCATTGCCAGAGCCCTACTAAATGACCTCTAGCGAGCAATTCATGTGCATGTTTCTGACCTAACTATTACAAACAGACTCCATGAGCATTGCATGAGATGCTGATGTTCTCTAATGGGATCTGTGCTCACAATCAAGCACAATACAGCTCAGTTGGCATTCACCAAGGATATCCAGATGTCTGTGAAGAGAACAGCACCTCTGGTGGACCTGCCAGTTCTGGTCTTCTCTGGCAAATGCCAAGTGAGAGAGAGATTGGAAATTCTAGTTACTTTTAATAATTTATCAGCATCATACATCCGTGATAACAATAACACTCACCAGCCATTACACAAAGTACACCTGCCTGTTACTGCTGTTACGCTTTTGCCTTCAGGACTGACTTACTTTTTCATGGTATAGATTCAACAAGGTGCACGAAACATCCCTCAGACATTTTGGTCCATGTGGATTTCATGGCATCACACAGTTGTTGCAGATTTTTTGGCTGCACATCCACGATGTAAATCTCCTGTTTTACTACATAAGTTACTCTGTTGGATTTTGATCTGGGACTTGCGGAGGCCATTTAGACTCATTGTGACATTCCAGAAACCAGTTTGAGATGATTTGAGTTTTGAAGATGAGCACACTGAGGTCACAAAAAACATCCACATGGTCAGCAGCAATATTCAGGTTGGCTGTGGCGAATAAATGATGCTGAGGTGGTACTAAGGGGTCCGAGAAAAGGCCCCGCACACACCATAACGCCACCACCACCTGAATTGTGATGTAAAGATGTTTACATCACATTCTGACCCTGCCATCCAAATGCTGCAGCAGAAATCAGGCTCATTACCAGGAAAACATTTTCCAGTTTTATTATTGTCAATTTTGGTGTGAACTGTAGCCTTAGTTTCCTTTTCTTAGCTTACAGGAGCTGCACCTGGTGTGGTCTTCTGCTGCTGTAGCCCATCAGCTTCAAGGTTTGAGGTGCTGTGCGTTTTAAGACTATCCTCTGCATACTTTAGCTGTAACGAAAGGTTATTTCATCTACTGTTGCCTTCCTATCAGCATGAAGGAATGTGGCAATTCTCCTCTGACCTCTGACATCAATAAGGCATTTTCTCCCAGAGAGCTGCCACTCACCGGATATTTTATCTTTAAAATGCCAGTAGATCAGCAGTTTGTGAAAAACTCAGACCAGACTGGTACAACAACCATGCTGAATTCAGATTCACTTAAATCACCTTTTTTCTTCTTTCTGATGCTCAGTTTGAGCTTCAGCAGGTTGCATTAAGGGGTACACAGGGTACCTAATGAGGTGACTCTGACTGTATATATAAATGACACAGCGATTCTCTCATCTGTAACTGGAAAGAAAATGTATTTTTTCACTGCACTCTGGTGTTAGTGTCAGTATTATCATTATTATTAAATAGTAATAATGTCATGTGATGTTAATTTCCTTTAACTAGCTCCTTCATTTCCTTTCCTCCAATGGGAGCCTCTTATTTTTCATCACAAATCTGCAAATTCCTGAACGTTTTAGTCAGGGTAATATGTTAGGAAGACCGCCCTTTTTGAATAAAAACAGATATTTTTGATTATTGTATTGGTCATGTATTGCTTAAAGAAGCAAATGTTATACAGAGCAGTTATTTGTTGTGTGGACAGAACTTTTCCTAGCTCCATTATCAAGAAAGCAGTACCCATGGTACACACACACACACACTGCATATACAGTACACGCACACAGCACGAGTTCAAATTCCAAAATTTAGATCACTTAAACCTGCTAATAACACACACACACGCACGCACACAGTAACACATTTAATTTCTCAGCCACACACAGGTGGCTCAAATCTTTCTATGTCTGTTGTTCCAGTTCTTGTGCTGCCATCTGGCTACAAAACCAATGCCAGCTTCTGTGATACACACACACACACACACACACACACACACACACACACACACACACACACACACACACACACACACACACACACTTGATGATACAATTTGTTA